TTCCATGTGTCATTTTCTGTCTGTCTCTCAATGTCGAGTCTGCGTCTTAGTGTGATGGTTTCTTGTTCCTGTTTTACTTTGAAGGTCTGTGTCTCATGTGAGTGTATCCTACTTTGCTCCCTGTCTCGTCAGTTCTGATTTCTCCCAGCTGTGCTCTCCTTCTGTGTCTCATTCCCCTCGTTACTTCCCAGTGTATTTAAACCCTGTGTTTCTCTGAGTCAGTGTCGCGTCGTCCCTCTTGATGTGTGGATCTCCCTGTGTCTCCCTGTGAGTTTTAGTTTATGTTTTTCCTGCCAGCAAATAAAGCTGCGATTTTGAGTTCATCCCCTGAGTCTGAGTCCTGCATTTTGGGTCCTACTCCTGCTTGCCACAATGCACTCCATGACACAAACCACCTTCAGTTTCAAGTGTAGCAACCTGGAGCGCCGTTTCCAATCCACGCTCACAAAATTCAATAAAACCACCTGGGAGTCACTGCAGGAAAAGTGAAAATTGAGCAGCCAGATCTCATCCGCAGAACAATTTCTACAGCTACTTTAGACAATTTTTCTTCAGGCATTTTATTTTTTCTGAAGCAGAAATGCTGGCGAAGGATTACAAGGATAAAATTGTATTTAGAGAAGAAATAAACGAGTTACAGTTAAGGTTTAATCAAGACTATAATGGGTACAATGCGTGCACCTAAAAAAAGTATTTCCCATAGAATGGATTGACACTCTTGTATGGGCTGTCTGATGTTCCTTCCTCTGACCCCACACGCAGAAGAAGAGCTCATCATTGCACAGGTTAGATGGCGTAGAGGTTTTGCTGAGATATGAAGGCAGGTGTGATATTTCAGCTCGTCCTGTGATGTGCAGAAAAATGTGAAAAGCCCTGATAGAGAGCGCAAACCAAAGCTGTTGCACCTTTTGATAATTACAGTAGATTATGTTATTTTCAGAGTGTAGTTCCATTTGACTACAGATGAACACCAGAAAGCTAAGCTTCATACAGACTCTGCATATTTATAAGCAGATATGTTTCTACTGTAGACAGTAGAAAGGTGTAGTTAGTTAGGATGTCTTCACCCAGTGGCTTTTGGTGGTCCAGTTATGAAATCTCCAGCATTTTCATGTTTCATTTTCTACATCACCAGAAGTCTTTTTGCAACCTTTTTTTTTCATTTATTGTGGTACTTACTCTCTACATTTTTGCAAAGTCGAAGTAAAACTGGTTCTTCTTTTTTGCTGCACATGTTATTGTGGCCAAGATATATGGGAACAAGGAAATTTCTTAGTTGGCCTTACATTTGAGAAGCTGTTATTGACTTAATCTGAGTTTTTTTTCTCCCCCAGATAGCAAATTTTTAAAAACAGCATTGTGTGCCAGAGGTTACAGAAGGAGAAGGCCTCGTTGTTGTTTTTTTAACTGTGTCTCAAGATAACTTTGTTCGTATTAGTTGTAACATTGAGATGAAAATGTGTTGTGAGTGATCACTAAGCAAACAGATGTACAGTATATCCATTGTGTTCATTAGAAACAAGACTAAATGCATTTGCTGTTGCAAATTATTAGTTTCTGAATGTATTTTCAGGCTATATAGATGGCTGTGGCTGGGATTATTATTGATTACCCTCTTTTACCGATCTTTTTTAGGTTATGAAATTATAAAATGTCAATCTTGCTTCTTTTGCTTGTGTAACCAATACGTCTACTCACAAAAGAATGAGTGAAGCAATATGGATAACAGCAGAGGACAATTTATTTAGGGTCTGATGGCAATTTACCATCGGTGTCCAGCACTTTAAAGGATTGATGGACTGGAGCACATCTGTCCTTAACATACCCTCTTAAACATCAGCTTGACACTGATACATCAAAGGAAACTTAACAGACTTTAAGTGCAAATGTTTCAACCTGAACAACTTAAAACTTCTCTGGGATACAATGTAAACAAAGACAAGAAGAAGAAAAAATATTTCCATCAATAGTCACTTCTCCTAACCAGGAGACAAGTGAATATATTATGTAAAGAGTCTTTTTTCTCAGTCCTGGGGTTGTAACACCACAACCTCCTCAGTCTGTAATCAGAGAGTGTCTATTTGACAATAACCAAAATGTCTTTGGATTGTCTTTGTGAATGCAAAAAGAAAAAAAACAATGGTGTTAGCTGGCCAGCAAAATAAAGAGAGTGTATGGCACTGAGTGCGGGCGTGTGTGTGAGTACTTCGGTCCAAATAATCGAGGTCCGGATGGATGAATAGATGGCAGCCGCCGGTCCTTTAATGGCACCAGCGAGACAGCACAGTAGTAAGGCAGCACAGCAGCGAGGCGTCTGGCGGGAGAACGAACAATAGTCTTTTTTAAGGCTACTGCAGAAGGAGATATTCCCCGCTAGCTCACCCAAGCTTGCTCTCTGGCACAGCTACAAGCCACGTGAGCTCATAACCCCACAGTGACATACGAACTTGGCTACCAACGTCCGCTTAGCATGGCGGCTAATTGTCGAGCTTGCTAGCTTGTCCCCGATTAGCGATTAGCACCTTAATAACCATTACTACACATCACATCATAGCAAACACACGATAACACATGGAATAATATAATATACATACGAAACAGATTTTTACCTGGCAGGAGAACGAACAATAGTCTTTTTTTAAGGCTATTGCAGAAGGAGATATTCCCCGCTAGCTCACCCAAGCTTGCTCTCTGGCACAGCTACAAGCCCCGTGAGCTCATAGCCCCTCCCGCTAGGATGTACTACCACAGTCGACTGTCGTAAAGCAGCCGCAAACCAATAGCAATTAAAAAAAAAAAAAAAAAAATCATTGAAGAACATTTTATAACTGAACACCCAATATAGACATATACATATATACTGAATATCACACAATATCAGATAACCCAATTAACACTGGGTTACACTTGCCAACAGTCTTCCTGTCTTTGCCCATTGGTTTGGTTTGTCTGGTTTGTGAGACCCAGTTGTGAAGTTCAAACTGTGCATTTTCACTTTTGAGCAGGATTTGAAGGACTTGCTGCAAATGTCTGGGTGCCAGAAACCAGAGGACACACACCCAAACCTCAGAAGATCCAAGTGCTGGTCAGTAATTTCAGCTCATCAGCACGTATACTGTTGATGCTGTGATTCTGAATAGATTGCCATGAGTGGTCATGAACAGAGACTCATAAAATCTGAAGATAATGACGCAGTTTGGACAGATAATTCGGCGTAATTGGAGCTTTGTTAGCAGTATGAACACGTTGATTGTCAGAACTCTTTACTGCTGAAAAATGTTGCTAATTAACATTCAACCTGTTATGACCTTGTTCGTAAGTGCTTTTCCATGATGTGCTGTATTTCAAAGGAGGCACTTAACACCATAATGTAAGATCAATGAAGTAGATTATATATTAGTGCAGTACAGACCTCTATGTCTGCATGCAAAAGAAGCAAAGACATCGTGGTGAGGGTGAAACACCTCAGATTAAGTCTTTACAGGGGTCACAGTTTTTATTATTAATAAGTAAAAAAAAAAAAAGGCTAATGAAAACTGCTATTTTTACACCTTTTCTTTGGTAATTGTATTTTTAAATTTGTAATGTCATTTGATATTTTTGATTACTTATCACTAAGAAATGGGCAAACGCAGGGTTTGATATTTTTCAAACAATAACATCTCCTTTTGCTTCGTTACAAGACTTCTTTGCCTCAAAAACAATAAAACAAAGGAAAGACTGAGCAAAAGTTTTAATTCAGATACATAAAAACACATAATGAGGAGACAGAGTAACACTATAAAAGGCCCACAGAAACTTAAATACACATTTGCAGGAAAAATAAATGTGACGTCTGGCCAAAGCATAAAATACATTTAAAGGCTGTTTATCTGAAGAAAACTGAATTCTAGAGAACAATTAAGACCTTAGGGTTTAAACATTTCTATAATTGAGTTCATCAACATTGGATTGCCTTCCTGTTTAAATCAGATTGCACAATTAACTGGACTTATTACTTATTAGAGAAAAAATACACACAATACTAACTTCTAGTGCACTGTTTAGGCCCCACTCACAAATGTATGGCTGAAATGGGCCAAACAATCTGTAAATAGAAGGGAAAACCAACAGACTTCATCCTATTAGGTCTGTATGGTCATTCAGCCTTCAGCTACACTAGCCAGCCTAAAAGCACTGTCTTGGTCCAAAAGTCTCGGGCAGGGCCATCTTTCTTGGCCTAGCTGAGAAGAACTTCCTGTTTGCTGTTGTAGTTTTTGTCCCCCTTCAACCACTATTACAACCAGAGAAGATGCCTAAAATATGTCATCTCCCACTACTGGAAAGAAGAAAAATCTCTGTTTCTAAGCGTCTGTGCACGCTCACATAAAAATGTGTGTTTCACAACTCATGTGACTACTCTTGCACACAAAATGATCACTATGAGTACCGCCTACTTCGATCAGAGACGTTATCGCGTGACCATGATGAGAAAATAAAACAATAAAACCTTATGCAAATAAGACTGAGATTAATGCTGCAGAAAACCATTAATCTAATGATTTGGCGCACAGAGCGGTGAAATAAAACATTTTAATCCAAGTTAATTTTATTGCTGAGTGTGCTCTCAGTGCGCTGCTGTTTATATCTAAGGTGACAGCTGAGCATTAGAGCTCTGAAACTTTAAACTTGAACCATTTAAACAGCTTAATAAAGGAGATGTTTTAATTTGTTGGTAGATGAAAGTTGAATTCATTTTTATTGAACAGTTATTCTGGGTGTCTATGTTCTAGTAGCTGCAGCTCCACCAGTGCAAAACAGACTTTTCAGCAGATTCGACTCAAGTGCAACAACATTTATCCATTTTCTAACAGAATTGATCAGGACCAGGTTATGTTCTGACCTACCTTATGCTTAACACCTAAAAACAAGAGGCAATTTAATAGGTAACCTTGCCGGTTTGGGGTTCCTCCTCTTTCTACTTGGCCTTTCATCTCACTGGCTGAGGTCTAAGACCTGCAGCCAATGGATGTCCTCCAGTCCCTATCCTTTTCCATTGTAGACTGAGAACTGTCCTTACTTTAGGCCTCACTCTCACACGGTGTTCCCCAGGGGTCTATTCTTGGTCCTGTTTTATTCTCTATATGCTTTTTTAATACAATCTGAAATGTTTGGGTGATGTCTTTTAAATGCTGGAGATCAAAAACTTCTTTCAGTTCTATGATTACTTTTCAGAAGTATGTTTGTTTGTTGACCTCAAAGACACTGACCTGTAATGTAAAAAAAACAGGGCATTCTATCCTCTGTTACGACCCGGCCTACGTGTAACCGGGCCTAAACATCTAGGTGACTCCAATGGCTCCCAAGAAAGGCCAGCAACACAGTAACTAAAGGTGATAAACAGCAGTTTATTTTCTTCGGTGTCAAAACAAAAGGGAAAAAAAAATCTTGGCTATCAGAAAATAAAAACAAAAGACAATTCTCTAACCTAAGCTCCCATCCAAACACAGGAAAAGCTTTCAACAAAGAGGCTTCTCACTCCTCTACTAAATTACTGCAGTGCTGAATATTTACAGTGAATGAGAATTTACAATGATTCTACAGCAACTATTTGCAAAATAAAGCAATGCTCCTAAACATCAGATGACTACATTACAAAACTTTCACATTTTACAAAAGAAACCATCATTGAGGATTCCTCACACAAATTCACAGAACTACAAACAACCGGCTGGCTCTTTGTTGGGTGTAAAAGAGATAAAGGAAGCAGTAGATGACTTTCAGCTGGAGCTTAAAAGGCTGCTGTCTGTCAATCATCCAATCTGGACTTCAGGAGCTCGTTTGAATCAGCCAATCAGCAGTCCAGCTTGTTTCACCAGCCATTACCCAAATACACCCACATGCCAAGCCAGGGGGAGATTCAAAAAACACACATACCCACACACCAATATGGGAGGAACCACACATCAAAACAGACAGCATGTGATCACTAACCACAACATTTGATTCAATCATAACACCTCCAATAATTCTGCTTGTAATGGCGTGAAAGAGAAGCTGTTTTCTCCTTCAGGTGTGTCTGTGTCTTCCTGACTGTATTCAAGGTTGTGTTAAAGTGAATTAAATATTTTATGTAAACTTCTGTCAGAGGGATTGTGAAATCGAGTCAGGTAAGTTTCCCTTTTGATAGAAAGAAAACTTTCCAGAGGTGTTATTAACGCCATACTCATCATGGCCTTCCTGTCCAGAGCAGTGATAACACCATAAAGATAAAAGCCATCCTCCCCACCTTCAGTGTGATCCTAGGGCTTGAAGAAGTCATCCTGATGCACCACAAAGGACGCCCATCAGTAAGGGTGGTTCCCCACTAATACATAAACTACTTTGTGGTTTTTTAGGTCACTACAGAAAGCGTTAATAAATTCTTCAAGGTTTCAAAGGTGACTTAATGTTATGGGACACTTTAGATGTGGAAGTAAAAAAAGAGAAATTGGAGGAGCAAACATCCTCAGGACGTTTTCCCATCTTATCTTGTCTTATCTCACTTCCCTTACCGTAACATCAACAATCCATTCAAACAAAGAGAAGTTATGAACTTGATAACATCAGGGTTTATCAATCGAGATCCAAGAGCATTCACGTCAGGGGCTGGGACCCAGCGTTTTGAGTTTATTTTGTATTTTTGAGCTTCTTATGTTAAGTTATTGTGTTATTATTAGTTACGATTTAGTTGAGTTTTATTCTAGTTTTTGTTTCATTTATGTCTCCTTGGTTATGTGTCATGTTTCCTGTCCTGTCTTTCATGTGTTTCATGTCTGTGTTGTGTCCATCTTGTGAAGCTGGTGTGTCATGCCTACGTCTCTCCATGTTTCCGGTTTTATTTTGAAGAGTCTAGTGTTTCCATGTTCAGTGTGTTTTGTTTTACTTCCTCCTGTGACGTCACGATCATTTGTGTCAGCTGTGTCTCCAGGTGTTTCCACTTCCCTCGTTACCCTTCTGTGTATTTAAGTCCTCTGTCTCCTTTTCTTTTTCAGATTGTCTGCTTGTTTTCATGTGAGGTCATGTCAAGTCACAGAGTTTTCGTTTCCTACTGTTCATGTTTGGACTGTTTCATAGTTACGTTGTTGTGTGTTGCTGTTCAGTTTCATGTTCTTTTAAGGTTTCAGTTTAGTTTCGTCCTTGTTTCGCCTTGCCTTGTTTTTCTGTTTTTTGTATCAGCCGCAATGAAGGCTCACCTTTTGTTTAAATACCAGTTCATTTCTTCCATGTCTGCTTTTTTGGTCTGTTTCATAAACACACCAGCATTCCCCACCATGACAATTTACATGAAAGGGGTGGTCCTCACAGCCTAACCTGAGCTAATTATACAAAGGTAAACAAAACTATAATATAAGAAAAATATGACGAGAATAAGCTCATAAGACAGAATAGAATAGAATAGAATAGAATTCAACTTTATTGTCATTGCACATGCACAGGTACAGGGCAACTAAATGCAGTTTGCATCCATCCAGAAGTGCTTTAGCCATGATATAGATATATTACAATATATATTAGCAGTAATATAGATATGTAAGTATTTTGCAGAAATGGGTCTATTATTTCTGAAAGCAACAAAGCAAGGGGAAGGAATAACTCCTGTCTCAGCAGGAAGAAGCCAATAGCAGAATCATAACCAGACTCAGAGAGGGGAAGCCATCATTTCAAAGTGAATGTGTGTGCATTTTAACACACAGACACACACACACACACGGTGTTGAAGGAAAAAAAAGTGTT